CTACCACAGTTTCTTTCCTAAAGCTGCAGCTGGGAGGATGTGCACTGGAGTATATGCAAGTAGAGCAACAGAAGAGAGATGGCCTGATGCCTACAGAGACGGGGGGCGGAAATCCATGGTCTTAGGGACCATGTCTAGTCTAGCCCCATTCAGAATAAGAATGTTCCTCTGTAATATCTGGAGGAGAGTTTGCTAGCCTCCCTGGAGTAACCTAGTTCCCCGTGTACACTCTCCCTTCCCTCTTCATTCATGTTCTTCACCTCCTTCTCTCCTCCTTCTGGTCCCCACCATTGGTTTAGGAGATTGGTACTAGGGCCAGAGAATCAGGTTGGGAGAGGCCAGCTAGTTTGGGCTGCACCTTTCTTTCATCCCTTTTCTCCCTTTCCTTCCCCTCAGGTTTGCAATCTGCGACTAGCACCAGGGGAGAAATGGAGCAGGCTCCCTAGTAGCATCCGAGTCTACAGCAATGAGATAGGAGAGCAAAGAAACCTGTAGCTTAGACAATAAAAAAGTGCTCGGCACTCCTGTGGATCAAGAAGGGGTGGCAATTAGTATGGTAGGGACACACCTAATTAGGGTGTGCCATAATTGCACCTGACTGACATCATTTTCCTAAGAAAGGGAAACGTTCTAGTGTGCATCGCCCTAGTTATCAGCCAGATGCTCTTTTTACTAAGTAGTTGCATCCTCCTTCCTTTAAATTTGGCAGTGAATTTCCATTGCTCCTCCCTGTGGGCCCTTCTGGAGGAGTATTTTTCCCCCACAGATTCTTGTCATGCTCATATGAATGCTCTTAAGATCTCATGCTGCTGAGGGCTCAGGCGAGTTCATCAGTGGCAGAAGCTTTGCTTAGCTGACCCCCAAGGACCAAAGCAGACCTTGTGAGTTACAGCAGAGGACAAATAAGTTGAAGGAAGGTGCACCTGGTCCAATGTCTCAGTTCACAGAAGCAGGACCCCACAGTCCTTGGACTGGGCTTGCAGAAGCCTGGGTCGGGGTGGGAGTGGACAAGGCTGGCCCGCCCAGTGGCAGGGTGCAGAGCTGTGGACATGCTGGAAGAGGAGATCAGGGGTGCTCACAGGAGGGTCCACAGGGACAGGGGCCATGGTACAGTCTAGGGCATTAGGTCCCATGCGGCAGGTGGAGAATAGAACAGGGATCCAAAGTCAAGGGCCCACAACAGAGGTGAATTAAGATGGTGCAAGTGCCCTTGTGGATAAAACCTGGACAGATGCCTCTGGATGCCAGTGCGCAGAGTGAAGAAACCCTGCACCTGCCCAGCTGGCCCACTGTCCCAATGTAATGATCAGAGCTCGCCTTTCACTCTCAGGTGTGGTCCAGTCTGGACAGTGACTTATACCGCTCTTCTATTTCCAAGGCAGCATTCTAAGCCTGCAGTTAGTTCTGACAATAGCCCTGCTTCTGGAGTGCGGAGATGCTAAGTCATCAGTAGACGCTTCCTTCCTTCCAACCACCTCTGTAGACCATGCAAAATTAGTCATTGTTAACAATGTTTTTAATAAGAACATAGTTTTCCTTGTTCTAGAGACTTATATGGTGCACCCTGTATAACCATCTGCGAAATGGAGCCACCAAAACCAAATATTGTTAATAGCCCTTAATTTGTCCTTCATCTTCTGTTAACCTTTGTCCGCCAGGACCAAGTCCTGGGGTCAGGAGAAGGTCAGCAAACACTGTCTAGAGCACAATGTCTGACTAGGTTTCAAGAGGCCAGAAATTCCTAAAACTGCCTTCAACCTCCCCACTACCCCCCCCCCCAAAAAAAATGTTCAGTTTTAGTAAATTCAGCTGTCTGGCTGATGTTTTTTTAACTTCTCAATCTGTGATTTTAGCACTAAACCTTCTTCTCAACAGCACTTAACACTTACAGCATCCAATATGATCTGTGGCCTTTCTCAAAGTCCTATTTATCAAGATAGACACAAAGCCTTCCTAGAGGAAGACCTTATCCATGGGCTCCGTGGATCCAAATGCATGATCATTGGGCCACAGTGGACTGAGATGAGCCCATGTACTGGCAGGCAATGAAGGATCCACTAAGCTGGCTACAGATTAACGTCAGGAGAATATTTGAACTATGTGGTAGTTTTATAAAGAAGCAGATATTTTCCACAGAAAATGCACAGCTCTATCATTATTTTCTGTTTATTAAAGCAGAATCAAGGGCCTCAATTTGGAAACTGTATGTAAGCAGTAGTTTGTTAGCCTATGTGGGGTTACTGGGTGATTCTGAATATAGAGGCAATGCAGGTCTTTCAAAAATTAGCCATAATTTTAATTTACTTATTTTTTATTTGTTTATATAGCCTGGCCTTTTCTCTATTAGTGAAATAAGTTACACTTGTGCAGTGTTATCTTTTCTATGGAAGGTTTAGCAGTTTCAGAGTATAATTGTTTTAAATTGGGAAAATTCAATTTTCTCTAATGTGTTAACATTTAACTCAGCTTTGAATGTTTGTGCTTTCTTGCATTACCCAAAACATTTGGAAAATGAACTCATCTCAACTCATCTCTTTCCCACCCCAGCCCACTCCACAACCCGAGTTACCCACCACGTTTCCGTACTTGAGTTAATGCCACACAACTTCCTTGGGCATTACAAATCTCAGTATCACCTGGCTCCTCCTCATTCCTTCTTTTGTTTCTTGCCATCCCTCCTACCCCTGCTCACTTGCAATTTCCCATAAAGCCTTTCCTTAGCATCTCTCTCAAATCCATTCTTTCGGTCCCCCGACATGGCCCGGTCAGAACTGTCACATCACAGCTCGGGCACTGCCAGAGCTCCCAAATTGTTTTCCTGCCTCAAGGTTTTCCCCTTGCTAAATCATCTTGAATTTTTTCTAGATTAACCTTCTTGTCATGCAAATGACCATTTCATCCCTCTGATCAAACACTGTCAGTGGCCTCCACCTGCCACCGGACAGAATTCAAGCAAGAACGTTAACAGGTGGTCAAGACTCTATGTCAAGATGCAGTGTTACCTGCTCTGCTTTGATGCACAAACACATGACTCTCTTCCCAACCCTCTCGTCATGTATTCTTGCTTCTTTGCGTTCCTTCAGCCAGTTTTCTACCCATGGAATGATTCAGTCTCCACCCCAAAGTTTCACCTACTGAAAATCTCATGGCCCAGCCCAAAAGCTGTGTCCCCACCAAGACGACAACCAGAGGAGGGCTCTCCCTCTGCTCCATGCCTCTTGCATCCATTGCCCTCACTTGGCGCTCTTACTATGCAGGGTGTTGTTTTTATTAGTCACTGCGGTGTTGCCGTGTGCCTGTCTTGTGGTAAGCTCTTGAGGCTTCAACATGTTGAGTACAGCCTATACTTAGGAAGTAGATAACCTTTGTTGTGCATGCATGCTACCACTTAAACCTGGGGCACTGAGAAGGTTAGATAAACATGACAGGAATTACAGGAATGTTTTGTCTTTTCAGCAAAACCCAAAATCACTTATGTAGAGAACCAGACCGCCATGGAACTAGAGGAGCAGGTCACTCTTACCTGTGAAGCCTCGGGGGACCCCATTCCCTCTATCACCTGGAGAACTTCCACCCGAAACATCAGCAGCGAAGAAAAGGTATAATGTCGCCGCCCAAGAGTCTCAGGGCATGGCACGCAGACTCGAAGTGGATTGAGTCTGCCCAATGCCCAATTTTCCTCGGTGAGCCAGAAGGGGGATATGGTCACTGTAGTCAAAGTTCTGTGGCCTCCTCCTCCCCCCACCTGAATGCATCCTGCTCCACATCTTCTGACAATGGAAGAGGTGCAGTTCATTGCATAGATTGGCAGGGGGGTGATGTTAGTGGGTATGGTCAAGGTAGACGCTCTGGGGAGGAAGAAAGTAGTGATTTTCAAACTCAGGATTTGGGGCTGTGAGGAACAAGGCAAACTGACATCCTGGTGCTCCAGGTGATTTCATCCTCATCTCAGGAGCACCAAGGAAATGTCTCCTGGAAGTTATAGGGTCAGAACAAGCCTGTCACTTCTTCTCCTTGTATTTTGTATACTCATGCTTTACATGCACTATGTGCACAAAAGCTTGGTTGCCTTTGTGTCTGCCTGTTTTCTCGATCACATTTGTATATCATGTTGATATAAAGGCAAAAATAATTAGCAGTTTCCACATGATGATGATTGCCCTAGGCTCTGCAGTGTATTCGCTGAGAGTGTAAGAACAACATAGCAAGCTCCGTGACAAATTCAAACGACTGGGGAGGTTTCACTTGAAAACATGTGGATTTACAGACCACCAGAAAGCTATCTTTATTATGAACAATATGTAATAATTGAGGGGACCCCACAATGTGTAGCCCTTTGCTACCGAGTGGATCAAATGCAGGGGGGGAAAGAAGCTTGGTTTTAAAGCGACTTAAACCATCTTAGGGCACCTCTCCAGTCTCACCTCATATATCCTGTAGTAATGGGCTTTGTCACCTACTCAGAAGTAATGGCCTTCGATTCAAAGGGCATTTGTAATGGATTACTTATTGACCAAAATGTCAGAAATTATAGATCTTCACTCTTCTGCTTTCCTAAAGGAAATCCTTAGAGAGGGTAAACTCAAGTACACCCGAAAGAGAGAGTATGAGACACTAGAACCAAACTTGGGATCTGCACTTGAGGAATTGATTTCTGTCCCGCTAATAGAAAGCAAGGCTGAGTCAAAAGGAACAGAAATACTATTCCAAAACCAATTATTTTTTGCAAGTTTTACCTCCAGAGTTGAATTCGACTTAGCAAAAACTCAACAAAGGAACTGCTAAGTATTTTTGAAACTCGCATATGCTGTTTGATATTGTACTGGAGTAAGAAATGTGGTGTTTACTTGATGCTTTCTTTATCAACATTGGGGTTAAACCTTCAGCTCAGATTTCTGCTCCTATCATGTGTGTTGTGTGGATTGAACTTGCATTCCAGGGCTTAAACCACAGGACCGCTGCCTGACAGGTTTTCCTACATTAGTCTTAAGAGTAGATTTGTCCAGAATGGCGCAGTGTATATCTTTGACCTCAGTGAAGGGCAGAGATAACATCTATCCCAGATGAACGATGCTTTTAAATTCTACATCTTTTCTAGGAATAGCTCAATAGCTAAGCTAGACCAGAAGAGTTATTAAGATTTCTGCCTACCTCAGCTCCTTTAATAGCTTGGTTCTCTAGCTTGTATCCGTGAATTCATTTTCACAGAATGAGAACAAATAACCAGGTACTAATATACACTCACACTCACTAAATACTGAGACTGAAGGTGTTCAGCAGAGACTTTCTCAAGCCAAGGAATACTCGCTTGTCAGTGAGTGTAGGTCATTTGTCTCAACCAGAGATAATTCTTTAAACCCTGCCACATCGGTGGTGGTGTTTTACCATAACGACAATAGTTTGCTTGACGTGACATTACTGGAACGTGAATAAATCAATGTTAGAACAAGTCCTCCAAGCTGGCCAGTGCTGTGACGCCAGATGAGCACACCTACCTAATGAAGCCCTTACAGAAAAGTTGCCATTTATATTAATTCCCTGCTGACATCAAAGAGGTGCGAGGTACAGCTTCATACCACGGATAGCTAATAATTAAGAAAGAAAGGTGGCCTCTTCCTGGGGGGTTGGACTCCAGATAGTAAGCTTCACTGTTACTTTGGTGGCTGCTTCTCCTGTGCAACTCCATCTGAAGTTGCATGATATGTAATTAGGTATCGGCATGATTAGAGTCACTGAATTGTAGGAGTGGAAGAAAACAATTTTCTCTTTAAAATCAGGATGCTATGCTAAGCAGATAAGAATAGACAATCGTATTGAACTGCCAAGATAAGGAAGGCTCCTGAGAATTAGATCACATAAAATGCCTGGATCATAGAAGGTTGGAAGGAAGCCACTCTTTGAGTTTATTTAGTCTTACCTGGCACTGCTTTCTAACATATCTGCCAGACAGTCACTCAGCCCTGCCTGAAAGGTGACATTGCCAGCCCTCAGCAGGGCAGTCAGCCAACACTGATGACCAGGAGGTCTGCTTCTCAGCCTTCCCACCTCTGGCAGCCAGTCTTTGTATGAGACCTCTTAAAACAGCTACTCAGGTTTTCTTCGGTCTGTTCTTTACCTCACCAGTTGCCCCGTAATAGATGGCATCAGCTCACCGGTGCGCCATTAAAATTTTGTGGTGCCCAGAGTCAATGATAAAGACTTCCATGGACTATTACTCCCTTGATCTGGATGCTGTAATGCAGTTAGAGTTGCATTAGCCCCTTTAGCAGTTTCCTCATCCTGTTGCCTTGTATTGAGCTAGTGGTCAACTAAAATGTTCAGGTCTCTCTTCCATGAACTGCATTTAAGCCACATGCTTCCTATGCTGTTCTTGTGCAATTGATTGCTTAACCAATCATGCAGAATTTTATTTTTATTTCTGTTAAAAATTGTATTTGTTGGTCATAACCCAATGTTTCTCAGTGGGGTCACCATGAAAACTTGGGAAGTCTCTTCCTTTACTGGGACTATAAAGGATGATATTGCAAGATAGGTAGCACCCTAATCTCCTCCCCCCTAAATACCAGTAGCCACTTCTAATCATGTGATTACCAAGATTTCACATGTGCAAACACTCTTGGGCATGAGAACAACCATTTGAGTTTACCTTTCCAACCAGTCAAGAATGGCTTTCATCAGGACTATCCTTTAGAGGTCTGTGGGTCCAGGGAATTTCCATTCACATGCTCCCCTATTTTATTTATATATTGAAAGTAATGAGGTCTACAATCAGTGGAGACCCCAGCCCAAACACAAGACCCACTGGCAGGCAATGGAGTGGTCTTCCCCATGCAACTGTCATCTAGCATTTGCATTGGCTATTGCTACAACCTTAAATGAACACTTACTTAAAATATCTTTATCCAGGTTACTGATAAAAATGTTGACTGGGACAGGGTCCAGTATATAACCTTAGAATGTCACTAGGGCTTCCCTCTGGGTCATTGGCTAAGAAGGTAGAGTACCAAATGCCACAGTACCCTCTTGTGACTTTAATGACTTCCCTGGAAGGCTTAATGATCTCTTTAATAGAGTTAGTCACAATATAAGCTAATTAAAGCAACTTGGTCTTTTGCTTCACTGAGGAGAGAGGAGAAAATGCTTCTAGCCATAGACACATAGTTAGTGACTTTCTAATGGAATACTTGTTTTCTTCATTAAAAAAAAATAAAAATTAAAAAAACAATACAGTGAACTTGCATGTCACACCCTATCTGTGATCTTGTTTCTGGGTTTAGTACAGTCACTTATTGGAGATTACTATCAACCTGCTAAGCTTCAGCTGGTTGAGTTGGTCGCTCCACAACTGATAATAGCTGGGCTAATACCATTAGGGTAGATCATTTGTCTGAAAGTTAGTTCATTTTTTATTGCTCACTCTTATGTTGACCAAAATCAAAACATATTTGAACATGACAATGGGTCAGTTAGATCAATGTGTACAGAGGTCGTTGATAATGCAGATACAAAGAAAGTTTGTGTGTCCATATTGTGTCCACAGCATTTCATTACTCTTCCTACCCAGACTCATTTAACTATTGCCAGGGTACTTGAGTGAGTGGAGCTAAATTCCGGGTACCACTTACATTCTGGGTGAAACTTTGGGATGATAATTTGCATCATCTATCTCTGGCAGAACAAATTCATAGTGTCCTTACTTGAACATGCCTTCGAAATAACTGGTGAATAAAAGCATCCGAAGCCTTAATGTTTAAGGAAAAGGAGAGGGGTGAAGAGTTGAGATCAGAAGAGATAAGGAGAAAAAATTAAAAGCATTCATGAACTTTGAATCTTGAGCTTCCCAAGTAGCCCACAAATAAGAGAGATCTTTTGAAATTCTCTGCAAATGTTTTATCACCAAGAATTCCTCATTCAATACAAAGTACGTGCTCACTTTTAAAATTGGAAAAGGTACCTGCATTGAGCAACCAGAGGCTGGCTTATCCCGCCTGTGGACAAGTTTCTAGCAGGGAATACTTTAGAATAGTGAGGGGATGTTCCACCTTAGTTTATATATATATATTCCTGCAGACTTGTAAGGTAATAAAACATGAATATGAAAAAAACATGGAGCTAACAATTTTTGGAATAGTACTAGTCATATTCTCATTTATTTTATTGTGTTTTTGCATATCAGGTTGTCTTAAAGCAGGCCACATACCTTCACCAAGTTATCAGGGGCAAGGCATAGCCTACCATTCCCCCTTACTGGGTGGTCAAGCAACTAGAATAATTATATTACTCACAATTGCTTATTCTAAATGCCTCAAAACCATAAGAATTTGGGAGAGACACAAGAAAATCAGATCTGAAAAGCAAACAACTCCATAGACATAACTCCTAAAAAACTATCTTGGTGCAAGCAGCCCTGGTGTGTGACAAACCAGCTTCTAAGTGACGTGGAATTGGCAACCACATTTGACATGTTGGCCCACCGCTTCTTTGGTCTATGCATGTTCCTCTGTCCTCACTTTCTTCATGTGACATAATCCAGCATTCTCATCCTTGTATCTCACAGGAGCTCCTTGCATTTAGTGGATCCCTACTAAATGTTTGCCAACTCATTTGCATTCCCCGGGTTACCTTGCTGTGTCTGGCATCTTCTCTATTCTTTTTCTATCTAAACACCAGGGACAATCAGGCAGTCATGCCATCCAACAGAAAGAGCAATGCAGGTATGATGTCTCTGACTCCCAGTATGAAAACAGAAAAACTGTAAGCAGAGTAGATTCTCAAGTGCCAGATAATTTTTTTTTAAATATAAATGTGGGTAGAAAAAGACCCAACCTTTGTGTCTCTGAGATAGCTCATTCTTTGGAGTGCCATGTTTGCTGAAGATAGAGCCTGCTGGAGCCTGCATGCATTCAGCGTGGTATCCTCCAGGCTTCCTGACTTGTAGTCTTAAAGACTTCATACCTCTCATTCCTAATGTGTCTTATGCTTTTTTGTTGTTGTTCCTTTTTTAAATAAAAATTTTATTTTTCTTAGTATGCATGCAGAGTTATAAAATGCATGAGCACAAAATGGCATTAGTGTATTTGTGATAAGCTCTCCTATAAAATCCAAAGGAGGAAGCTCACTCTATAAGTATCTATAGATTATATGGTTAGAACTAGTAGTGTCACCAAATATTATGAGGGACATTAAGACATTCTGGTCTAGGAGCAGCTTATAATACGTCTGCTGGTGTCCCTGTGTATGTCTATTGGAGATGAGGGAAGCCTATACCTTTGAATGATACAGCCTAATGTGCATAAGGTGGGGGTGAGGTGGGAGGGAGCTGAACATAGCCAAGTCCTTGATTAAGCTGGGTGATAGGCACACCATGGAGAGTGGGCCTTGGAAAAGTTCTGAATTGGAAAGAAGCTGCATGTGCACGGAGTGCAGTGTTATTCACCAGTTCTCTAAAGCAATATTGTAAACTTTTACTGCTTTCTTGTTGTGTTTTATATCTTGTTCTCTCCAGGCTTCGTGGACTCGACCAGAGAAGCAAGAGGTATAGCTTACCTGACCACTAGCCAGTCTTTAGTTTTGAAAGCGTTGCGGTTTAACTCACCATTATAGTTAACAACCAGACATGCTAAACTAATTAGTAACTTAGATTAAAGAATAGGTCAGTAGTGGTAGCTGTTACTTAGCAATAGTATCATTTTAGGGTGAGCAAGCAAGCTGTGTTGGAAGTGGGTGAACAAATCCTTATTGTTTTCTAAGACTGGATTTTAGTCTCTTGATGGTGCTGGGAAAATCACATCCAGGTAATTACACTTAAATCTCCCCAATTCCCAGGCCCATCACTGTGAAATGGTGAAATTTTTTTACTCTCACCTGGTTGATGTGACTTCGGATCATGAAGGCACGGAGTTAGTGATCTAAAACCCACTTGGCCCTTTCCCTTCCAGCTCAACTCATCTTGTTGCTCGCTTATTTTATAATGATTGGTCTTGGTAAATGATCACTTCACATCTCATCTTGAAGCAATGCAAATGACATGTCTCATTGGTTCTCCCAAACTGTTAAACGTGTCTAGCTACTTTCACAGTGTTAAATTGATGAGCTTAGAATGATTCAGCACAAATGGCTTTGTGGGTGTGTTTTTTAAAGTCGGTAGCCATTGGCCTTTGAAATTTCTCTGATTCCTTGCTTCATTTGGGGTAATTTGGGACTTAGTTTGAAAATTGAGACTAATTATTCATCTTTTGATTTTAATTGTTACACCCCCAAGATCTTGCTCATGGTCATGAGTATCGCTTTTTACCTGATTTGTGCAACTGAGTGACAGATAGTGAAATAAAAATCAGTATAGTTTAGATGAGGTTCAAGGATCTAATCTATGAATACTTTATGGGAAAACAAAAAGCTTTGTCTCTTCTCCAGATGAAACTTTGGTATTGTAATGCTATAAACGTAGAATCTAGCAAGCAATCCTATAGGTTGTATTATCTCTCCTCTTAGCCTTTCGGAAATGATAATTATTCAGAACACGTAACTCATGTGTTCAGGTCACGGCTATAAATATGTAATTCTGTTTAATATTTGAAGCTGCCTGCCTGTCCCCAGGCGCGATGTTAGTTTCTGCACATGAACACATTGCCATCGTCAGCTCCAGTTCATTATCAGCTCTCTGCCTCAGACCTTCCTCGTGTCAGAGGGGCTGCAGTTCAGTGCACATCTCACTGAAATGCTCCTTCCTGGGGCACAGGAATCGCTCAGTGCTGTCACGGGCTGGGTGTTTTATTGCTTCAAAGTCCTGGACCCACTGGGACTGGGGAAGGGAGAGAAGGGTCAATTATCAGCTACTTCTGAGCAGCTACAGATCTCATTCTGCTTGGACTTGTACACCTTCCCCCTGTCCTTTTGACCTAGACCTGGAGGAGCTGAGGTTTATCAGGGAGCATTAAGAAGATGTTAAGTGAATTATTATCATAAGCAGAAGTAATGGGTTTATTCCCAGCAAAGCAAACACCTCACTCCGTTTGCCAGAAGTGTCCTTACCTTCAGTATCTCGCTCTGGACATCATTGACTTTCAAATAAGTGCCACCTTGGGGCTCAGAAGTTCCGTTCCTGCCTATTTGTCTCACTCAGAGATGAAGACTATAAGTCCAGAAGGCGGATTGGGTTCTGGCCAATCCCATTCTGTAAGCTCTGAAAAGCCTTCGCACTTTTACCCGGAAGAAGAAAGACAAAAATGTTTCGATGAGAGGATTAATTATAACTGCCCTTCATACTCTTGCAAAACAGGGTCTTCTTGTCATAATGATCTTCTCCTTCTTGCCCAGAATTCATCTGCTTCTCTCCTCCAGAGCCTGAATTATCAGTGCGACGTTTGGTCTGCATGGCTGTAGGTGGCACTCCCGGACTTTGTCCCGGTGCCAGAGTAACCATTTCAGAGGGCCCAGTCACACTAACTGTGTCCCCTGGAAAGAGAACTGGGCATCTGAAAATAATCCCATCATCAATTCTGTTCCTGAGCCGCTGCAAAATAAGAATTCTTTACGGAGGGCCACCTACTGGCCCGTTGACATCATTAAATTAGAAAGATTTCCAGATAGTGAAATTGAGGAAAGAGACCAGCTAGAAGAGGAGAAAGAAGTACTGCTGTCAGTATAACCATTTCATGAAATGGTTGTAAAATGTGATGGGGCTTAAGTGGCTGAGCTGGACTAAATCTACTTCTGATGGTACAAGGACAGCTTTGACAGAGCTGTGAGGCTGCTCACAGGCCCCGGCTGCCTCGCTTTTGAGCTTCCCAAACTGGCTGCTGTGTGACGTGCAATTCTGGGTTTGGGGCTTCCAAGCCAGCACGTTGAAAGAATCTGAAGTCGGGTGTTGTTACATTCTTTAAAGGCCCAAACCCTTGAGTAACAGATGCCGCACAAATGCAGACCACTCACCTATCCATCTCTACAGAACACCGCATGCTAGAGATAAGGGTGTGGCCCAGCCTCTGAAGGGAAGAGTATGACTCCTTTAGATTACCCACTTTCTGGAGGATCTGAACTTGGGCAAATGCCCAGACATTTCCTAGACCAGGAACCATTCACCTAGAGTGTCAAGGGGGGACACCCTGGGAGATATTCCAGGACCCATTGCCTGGGGATCATGTGCTTATTTCCTGTTTGACCAGTAATTCTGAAGACTCAGAAAGCTGATTATAGTACCAAGGGCTAAAAAAATGGTGGTGACTATGAGGTTAAGGGCCCCAGATCTACCTGAGACTCTCTGTACCACTGTCCCTGGAGAGGGGACCCAGTTACCCTTCCTTCCAGCTCAGCAGCTCCTGACTTCTGAGTTGTTGGGCTTTTTAAAAAAATAAAATAATTTTACTTTTAAGCATCCAAGAAAGTGAGGCATCTGCATAAGTATGGGTTTCTTATAGAACTTCTTGCATTTTGGAACACTCGGATTTCCCATCCAGTGTGCACGCATTGTGGCACTGGCAGATGGGTGGACTGCTGGGAGGGAGGGAGGGGAGTACAGGTTTCCCAGAATCCCATGAGGCAAGGCGGTTTCTGCTGGAGTATCTGCTGCTCAGGGCTTCGCTTCCATTTGGGACATGCCAAACAAATCGGGACCTTGAGCCACACAGTCTTAGCACACAGCTAGGCTGCTTGACATAAACTGAGTCCATCTCTGTTTGGGGTACACCCAAGTTCCCATGGTGCTCTCTGCAGCCTCCCCCTCTAGTTGGAACCTAAAGTGAGACTTAGATACTGGCAGAGAGAGGAGAGGGTGTGAGACTGGTCACACAAGTGATGGCCTGGTCTCCTAGCCCCCATCCTGCCCTGGGCTCTGACACTCTCTGTTCCCTCCCGGCAGACTCTGGATGGGCACATGGTGGTGCGCAGCCACGCCCGCGTGTCCTCCCTGACCCTGAAGAGCATCCAGTACACAGATGCTGGAGAGTACATCTGCACCGCCAGCAACACTATCGGCCAGGACTCCCAGTCCATGTACCTTGAAGTACAATGTGAGGAATAACTGTGGAAAGACCGGGGAGGGAGGGGCCATGGACGGTTGGGATGGACGGGAAAAAGAGCAGCTAGGACCTGCAGCTGGCAAGCTTCCATCTCTTTCTCTGGGTCCCCAGGTCACCTCCTCACACCATCCCCAGGCTTCCTACCCGCTGCATGCCCTCTGTCTTCCCATCAGCTCACAGGATTGCCAGAACAGCCCCGACCTCTACTATACCCTGGCATAGCTTGGCTTCAGGTCACACACCCCTCCCAGTGCCAGGAGACAGCATCTGTAGGGCTCCATGACAGTGGCAAGCTTCCTGACAGTCATTGCCACTCGTTGCAGATGCCCCCAAGCTGCAGGGCCCCGTGGCTGTGTACACCTGGGAGGGGAACCAGGTGAACATCACCTGCGAGGTGTTTGCCTACCCCAGTGCCACAATCTCATGGTTCCGAGATGGTCAGCTGCTGCCAAGCTCCAACTACAGCAACATCAAGATCTACAACAGCCCCTCTGCCAGCTACCTGGAGGTGAGCGGGGCACGGGCCAGCGGCAGGGTGGAAAAGGCAGTTTGACTATAGATGGGCTCCTGAATGCTGCTAAAATCCTTCTTGCTTCTCTGGCATGTCCTGAGCTGGGAGCCATTAGCTGGAGAAGAACTTGGGCTTCAGCCCAACCCCTGTGTCTCCTCGGGAACCCCAGGGCCTGGAAGACAGAGTGTCTTCTTCCACAGCCCCTTCTCTGTTCTCTCTGGCTTAAGGGTTGGGTGGAGCCAATGATTCCTGCTTTACTACTTCTATTCTTTGCTAATTGAATCCAATAAATAAAGGCCTGAGGCTGTGACCATCCCATGGGCATGTAAACCACGAGCTCCTTCTCTCCCAAGGTGACCCCGGACTCTGAAAATGATTTTGGAAACTACAACTGCACCGCCGTGAACCGCATTGGACAGGAGTCTCTGGAATTCATCCTTGTCCAAGCAGGTGAGCACCCCTTACGGCTGCACCCCCCTTTGAAAACCCTTGCTGGCCCATTTGGTGTCCTTGAGTGATGCCAGGAAAGTGAGAAGAGAGGCCCCGGGTCAGAAAAGCCTGAGGAGGAAGCAGGGAGCGATTTGAGGATCGGGGCATGGAGCATGTGGGGAGAGAATCGTGTGGGGAGGCGGGCCGGGAGGATAGGATCCAGGCAACAAGACTTCAAGACTGAGCAGAAACCGCAAAGATGTGATTGCGAGTTGTGTCCTGCCTGAAGCTCACTTGGGCCTTCATCTGTGTTCTCCCCACAGACACCCCATCCTCACCATCCATCGACCAGGTGGAGCCATACTCGAGCACAGCACAGGTGCAGTTTGATGAGCCAGAGGCCACAGGTGGGGTGCCCATCCTCAAATACAAGGCTGAGTGGAAAGCAGTGGGCGAGGAAATGTGGCACTTCAAGTGGTACGATGCCAAGGAAGGTGAGTCTGGGAAAGTGTTTCCTTCAGCATGAGGAGTCCCTTGGTGCTGGGCACACATTCACCCCTGCCTTCACCAGACCCGGGCACCCTGACTGCCCATAGGGTAGGGCAGCATACCACTCTCACCTACTGGGGGTGGCCAGGAGCCATCACTTGCCATCTGTTCATGTCCCTATGCTGGAACTTCGAATTAGGCACGGTCATGTCTCACATAGACTTGTTGGCCTCTGTACCTGGCACTTCAGAACCTGGTTGCTGTGACCCTGCAGGATGGAGGGGCCATCCCAACCACCTGCCACTGCCACGCAGAAGCCCTGCTTCGGTGTGACAACCTGGCGAGGCCAGTCCACCCTGCTCCGCATGTAGTTACGTGTTATTGTAGTAAAACTTATACCACATAAAATGTACCATTTTAACCATTTTAAGGGTACAGTTCAGTGGCATTAAGTCCAGTCTCGTTGTTGTGCAACCATCACCAGGGTCCATCTCCAGAGCTTTATCATCCCAAACTCTGTACCCATGAAACACTAACTCCCCTCCCCTCCTGCCCAGCTCCTGGCAGCCACCGCTCCCCTTTCTGTCTCTCTGTAGTTGACTCTCCTAGGTACTTCGTATAAGTGGAATCATACAGTATTTGTCCTTTTGTGTCTGGCTCATTTCACATAGCATAATGTCCTTGAGGTTCATTTATGTAGTATGTGTCAGAATTTTCCTCCTTTTTAAAGCTGAATAATGTTCCATTGTACGTGCGCACCACATTTTTTTTCCATTCATGTGTCTGGGAACACCTGGGTGCCCCCACCTTTTCGCTACTGTGACCAATGCTGTGAGTGTGGGTGTATAGATATCTGTCCAGGTCTCTGCTTCAATACTTCTGTGTGTAGTCCTAGAAGTAGAATTGCTGGATCCAGTCATAATTCTTTGTTTAATTTTTTGACGACCCACCATAGTGTTTCCCACAGCGGCTGCACCATTTCGCCGATAGGCTTTTTATTATTTGTGATCCTTTCCATGTTCTCACAACAGCCAGCATGGAGGGCATCGTCACCATCATGGGCCTGAAGCCTGAAACGACGTACACAGTGCGACTGGCAGCCCTCAACGGCAAGGGTCTGGGCGAGATCAGCGCAGCCTCCGAGTTCAAGACGCAGCCAGTCCGTAAGTAGAGCCAGCTACCCTGCCTCTCCCCCCTCTCTTCTTCTGGGGACCATGGGGGACCCTGAGCTGGCCACCCATTGTTCAGATGACAGCCTTTTGTCTTTCAGATGCCTCTGCTGGAGGTGGCCCCACCTCCCCGCTCTCTGGCCCTCAGTGATGACTGACACCCAGTCCCTTTATCCTCTTTCTCGGGGTCTTGGTGACACTGTCATAGACTGACAGCCAGGGTTGTTAGAGGGCGTGTGCAGTGGGGGGTTGGGGACTTGCTTTTTGACACAGGTCACAAAGGCCCTCAGCACCTGTGATTGAAGGACGAGGGTAACGACAGTGACAGTTCCCATAATGAGCTGTGGGACTGTTGATGCAGCAGAGATATTAATGTAGAGAAAAGCAGGGGGTGCTGGGGATGGAGGAGGAGCGGAGGCATAATCCCAGCAAAGCAAAGGGGAAAGGATGCGGAGGCCTCTGACTTTTGGCTCCCCCTCCCTTCCCACACCAGGAACGCACCTCAGAGTCTCCCTCCCTCTCAAACTTCCAGTCGCTTCTTCCCGGTTCCATTCAGGGATGCATTTCTGTTTCCCTCTGTCATCCCCACTTTCCCTCACTCTGCCTGCCCTCCTTTCGCTCGTCCCCCAGGACAGCCAGCTCTGGGGCGAGCCCTGCTCTAGGTAGCCCTCCACAGGCCCCCCCTGGGAGGAGCAGGAGACCCCATGGAGAACAGACTCCACAAGTGGTCCCAGAGGCCCAGGCTGCTGACTCCTGGAATTATAAAGCAGACGGGGATCCTTGCTTCCTTCTCTTTGAAGCTGGGGACCTGGAAAGAGATCCCCTTACTCTCCCAAGAAGTAGAAAGCCTGTCTTATCTTCCTCCCACAGGAATTGCTTCTTTCTGGATGTGAAATAATTTGATAATTTGAGTTTCCAGTGCCCTGTGTTCTGCGATCCAAGTCATTTCTTTTACATCTGTTTTTTTTTTCCTTGGGTCTATCTCTTGTCTTTTCTTTCCATCTGTGTTCCATCCATGGGAAATGCAGATACCCCTGTTCCACGTAAGTGCCTCTTCATACCTCGCTACTTGTTCCCATGGCATTAGCATCTCTGTCCTAGTTATTAATTTAGTTCCAGTCTCTTCTGTCCCCAAGGGGCTGAAGTAGCTGCTGCTGTCCGGGCCCTAACCACACTGATCATAGCCTAGCTGTGTGCTGGTTAATGTCCATAGGTTACTCCCGGAAGCTAACCCTCCTCCTGTTTTAGAGCATGAAGCTTTTGTGTCTTTTGAAGTTGTGTTTATGTATTAATTTCTGTGTGTGACATTTACGCTGTGGCAACAGTGATGTTTGCCAAGCCAAGCGTAGTGGGCATCTGCAGGTGATCTCTTAATAACACACTATAGCCCCACCACATCTTTAGCCAGGAGGCCAGAAAAGTGACCACATCATCACCAGGCCTCGATTCAAAATCCCTTCACAGGAAAAAGACTTTGAAAGGATTTCCACATTTGCTTTTAGGAGATAGAAAAATCGAGCTCTCCTGCCCTCGTTCTGTCTATCAGGGAGGCAGCTGGAGGGCGCCTCGTTCTGTCTGTCAGGGCATAGCATGAGGTTGGATTCCAATCCATGGCATGTCCTGCAGGGGGCTGCCGGGAGCGAGACCCCAGCTCCTCAACCCTGTTCTTTACTAAAGCAGGAGGTACTTGCAAGCTGCCATTTCTGTTTGAGAAAACTAACCAGCTACTTAGTAACTCTACTGCCAAGCATGTAGAGAGGGGTGATTCTCCCTGGGAGGGACCCTCATTGTGTAAGCTGTTACTGCAAATTCAGGGAGTAAGGGTGGCATGAAGCTGGCCTGCCGTTCTGGGAGCAGAGCTGTGATGCGATCTCCCTGCCTGTACAGATGCCCGCACTTCAGTCCCTGCGGCCTGGCCCCTTCCTAGGCTGCGCTCAGAGTAGTGGGGGGAAGTAGTACCCAAAGAGGCTTAGAAGAAAGGTATTCAGAGAGCAGAACACTCTTTTCATAAAAAGCTCCTCGTTCCTGAAAGACATTCAGAGAAGCTTATCTTTTAAAAATGAATTCAGAAATTTTGCAGCCACAGCAGAAACTAAGTAGCTTGGTGTAGGCATTCTGAGATCTTCAGCAAGTGTTAAATTAACTATCTCAGCAGAGGTGGCTCTGAATGAACCAGTTCTGACAGGAGACAGGAAGGGGTGGAGCTGTGAGGTGGGACTGACAGCTGTCTGCTCTGGGCTGGCAGTTGCTTGCAGAAGGCAGGCACCAGTCTGGGTGTGACACTGTCCGGGTCCTGACACCGTCCTTAGCCTGATCTTCGGTTCATGCTCTTCTAGATGTGGGTTATCAGTACTCCGTGTGGGCTTAGTTGCTTTGCTGAGAGGGAGGCTGTGGGGAGGCCCCTTTGAGTTTCTCACCAGTAACTAGGCTCTGAGAACTGAATTGGAGTCACTGGCCTTGAACTTCAAAGACTATAAGTGGTTTTCATTCATTGCCAGCTCAGCCCTTGTAAAGGTGAGAATTCCCATAGCAGATGCTGCTTTGAAAGTCGGTGTTTATTTTTTTTTAAAGGAGACCTCCAGACCTTGTTGTTTGTTGTCTGATATATGAAAATAGGTAATTAACCAAGATCCCAGGAGGCCCTGTAGGAAATGGTGGGGTCAGCTCTCCATTCCAAGTAGATCATGAGTAATGCAGTAGCAGGCATTGTTAGTGTCATGAACAGTTAGTTTTATCAATCATTTAATAAAATTACAGTTTAAAAACTAAAAGGCAAATTTCTTTTAGACAAGGAGAACTACACACAGCCCCAGCATTGGGTGCTGGGTGCACCCTCACCACAAGGGAGAGAAAGTACAGGATCAATGGAGCTAGCACACTGGACAGAGAGCCATCACTGCCAGCCCTGGGTGGGAGAGCTAGGCAAGGGCCAGTGCATTTCACATCACCTCATCACTTGAAGTTCATTGAGATGTCTCAATACTGGGGTTGCTTTCTCACTTCCATAATAGACTTCTCCACATTCAGAGGCATGAATATGTCAAAGCAAGGATGAGCAGATGGAACTAGCCAGAGAGCACAAATACCTCAAGGACTCCTGCTTCTGAGCTGGATTAGAACTCATGGCTCACATGTTTGGAGGTTCTTGTGTGCAGTTCACAAATGTGTGTGTAAAGGTCTTGAGGAAGCTATGGCTTTAAACAAACAGATGGAACTCCAACCTAGGAAAGTACCTCTGTCACATGTATTTCTAGGACCAATGTCTTCACGCTGTTAAGACACTCTCAGGTGAAAAGCTGACGACCTCTGATTGCCTTGTGGGGGAGGGGATGCTTTCCTATAAGAGCAGCTGAGGCCCTGAAGAGATGATGTCACAATTTGTTATGAAACTATTCCTCATGATTGAGCTTCACCTTCAAAATTTCATTGTCTGAATATTACCTCTTAATTGCTTCTGTACCATGAAGCAAAGTAAATGATTACATATGAATGAGTCTCTACTTTTTAAGAGGCATCTTGAGATTTTTGTTTCCACATTTTGCCCCTAGATGACACATTGCAAGTGTAAGTTAAATGCATTGTAATATATTGTGATTAAAGCACATACAACTCTATCCCTTTGCCACAATAATAAAGACAGTTATGCAAACAACTCAAGCCAAAAAATAAAAGAGAAAGAGATACATTTTTACCTGAATTAACCAGACCATCAAATCATGATGAGTTAGTAGCCTACCTTGCTCTGACCCCAGTGACATTGTACTTGCATGGTTTAATGAGATCCCCACATCTGGAAGGTGAAAGGAAGATCAAGGCAATGTTGAGGACACGGTGACTTTTTTCCTAATTTTCATCCAGCTCTCAGAGGGACTTTGTTTTGTGATCTGGGTGGGGAGATTTGCCAGTGGAAAACTGAAGAGCTGTCCAAATGTTTTGGATGCACCATCTCTGCCCGTTTTCCATGCTAACATTGCCTAGAGTTACTTGTTTAGCGAGAATAACAGTATTATTTGCATTGCTGTCCATACACAAAGCAGCATCCAGAGAATCACATTCTGTAGGGATTTTTTTTGGAGAGCAGCAGAGGTTTTTCTCATCCAGATGCCAAACAATCATGAACCTCTATTGGTAGTAAACATTAATAAGTAGGACCATCATTTTCACTTTATTCAGACATTGAAATTAGGGAGAGACATAGAAGTTTTGCTACAATTATATGTGTCGGCATCAATATATATCTATATACAAACACACATAGAGACACCTAAAATAAAAAGGCGGGCTTCTCTCTTCCCGTTCCTCCTGTCTCTCCACTCCCCTGGGCACAGCTGCCCCTGCTGAGCCGGCCGTTTGTTTTCAGCAGGGTCGAAGGCCTCTGCAGCTGTTCCTGGCCCAGGCCCTTACCTGAGCTGCCGGCGTGGCAGGCACACAGGTCTATGGCGCTGCTCTCTGCTGGTCTTCCAGCCACCTGTTCTCTAGCACCGTGTTCTTCTTGCCCGTTTTAACTCACTGCAGCTTCTTGTACTGACGTCCCAGGGTTGGCTCTCCCGTTTTTTTCATGCAGCACCTGTACGCCTTGATGATCTTTTATCTCTTTTTTTTTTTTCACCTTCATTTTTCTTTTCTCAGCGGCTCCTGCTAGCTCTTCCACTCCTGTCCCATTGTCTCACCCAGATAGTGAGTATCATTTTCTTCATCCATCTCTCTGCAGGTTGCTTGCCACCAGCCACAGTGGGTCTGCCTAGTGTTATCACCTTCACCAGGTGATAACTCAACTCTGTTGGCAGAAAGCAGTGCCGGGTTTGTAGAGAAGCAAATGAGAAGAGAAATAGGCACAGGGCCTCCCCGATTCCTGGGCAGCAGCACTCCCTGAGGGGAGGCAAGTGAGGGGTGTGGTTCTGGACCAAAAATGCTGCGGGCAGGGCTCCTGAGGCTGCTGCAGCCCGGCCCAGTGCTGGCTGCTTAGTGAACTGGACCCGAGCTGATATTCAGAGAGGCCAAAGGAATTTGCCCAGAAAACTCTGTCTGCAGGCTCGTGAGAAATGCCTTGGGGTGTTGTGTTTCCGCTTTCACTTTAATTGGCACAGTTGGATTCAGACACTGAAATTAGAAAGCAAAGCCTAGACCTTTTGCTTTCTTCATAAATGCATACGTTTCTCGTAAATATTTGTGGGAAAATAAGCAGTGTCTGCTTGCAGATGTGCCAGGCCGTGGGCACATTATTCACCTCCACAGCGGGCCTCGTTTTCTCTCCTCTATAAATCAGGAGGGCTACTTGCTCTCCCCTGACCCCCTTCCACAGAACATAGTGTTCACAAGCCGTGCTTGCCCGCCCAGGAGCAGTGCCACTAAGCCTGACAATGATGTCACCTGGTCAGTCCCAGCCTTCATCATCCTGACTGAGCCTCGCTCGTACAATCTTACTTATTGGTGGTCCTGTCGCTGTGTCCCCTGCATCCTCCACAGTAGAAGGAGCTCCGGGCCTCCCCTGTTTACAGTTTTGAACCTCTTTCTGGGGGGAATGAGCAAAGCGAGACAGCTGCTGAGTGAGTCCCAGAGTGTTATGCCAACCGTGCCCAAGGCAGCAGACAGGGTGCAAGCAGGGGTGTGCCGCTGGCTGGCTGAATACTCCTTAGTATGTCAGAAGTCCCTGCATTTCGGGCACAGCCACAGGAGGGGACCCCGCCCCATGCCCAGAAGCCTCTTGTTGCACCTGATTAAGTCAGGAGCAGGCCCACCACCCCATTTGGGCCGTTCCACGCTGTGTACCGCAGCAGCAGGAGTCCAGCTTGGGAGCTGGAAACAGCCTGGTTCAAATCCCAGCTCTGCCACCTCTGTGCACAGCTCCATAATCTTAATGAGTCGCTCAGCCTCCCCAAACCTCAGATTTCTCACCATTCAAATGGAGGACAGATTTACCTACCTTGTAGGTATTTGTGAGAATTAGAGATCAAGTATGACAAACAGGGCTCAGCACATAATAGCTGTAATTCATGGTAAGAGTAAATGAGGGTTATATTATTTCTCAATGTGTCAGAGTGATTTGTCGGCAAAATCTCTGATAATCTCCTTAAAGTATATTCACATTGATAAATCATGGAAGAAAACAGTGAGAGAATATCTCCTTCACCATCCCTGTCTTTTCTTTATCATAATGCCTTAAATATATAGACACACTTATGAATTTATGTCCATTTCCTCCTTCACCTTTCTGAGCCTTTTCTGTGATTCCTGTTTCCATAGCAACCTGGCCTCCTCCTGCCCTTACAACCACAGAATCATCTAGTGAGTACGGAGCTGAGCTGCCCTTGGCCAGATTGCTGCTTGTTGCGGATCTGACTTCTGGGTCACAGCGCTGCTCATGGTTTTCCCTTGTATTAAAGCAACCGTTGAGAATGCATGGCCACTCCTCACCAGTGTGGTTTTCTGAGCATGCTGTGTGCTTGGCCAGGAGAGCAGACCCCGCACCACCCAAGGAGCTGGAGTGATTATGTAAAGAATACCTGTGCATGAGGAGACTTCTCAAAATTTATCCTCAAGTCAAAATTAGAAAAGGATTAGAGAAACCCTGACGAGACAAAGGAATAGCATCTCTTCCCAGCTTTCATTGTCCCTCGCCACTGATGCTCACACACACACACACACACACACACACACACACACACACACCACATGCTCATATAGCAGTAGCTAAAAGAAAACGAGGGAAGGAGTAGGAGAAAATGGCTATTTGGAGAAAGGCAGAGGGTGAAGCCAAGAAGGAAGACTGGCTGAGTCCTGACAGCCTGCCTCCGTGTCTGGCCCAGTGGGGGAGCGGTGTCCACAGAGCACATGGGAAGGAAGGGCGCTCCCAGTGCAAGAAAAAGCATGGCCCAAAAACCGGGCAAGCATAACCGGGCTTGCTCAAGTTTGTGTACTGAGCATCCAGATGGAAGTTCTGGAATTCATCTCCTGATGATAGAGTCGGGGCCAGACCATATCATCTTTTCCGTTATGGAAAGCATTGTACTTCATCACAGCCATAGCATGCTCCAAGCTAATTGTTTTAAAACTCAAATGAAGTACGCGGTGGTTAGGCCTTAAATCCCCTGACAGATCAACTGTAGATGTGTGTGTGTGTGTTTGTGTGTGCGCTCACACGTGTGTGTGTTTACAGTGTGGGTCCTCAGCTGTGTGAGAGTTTTAGGTTTTATAACATGTCTGAGTGCACCGAAAAGTGGCATGCATCCGTGAATAGGGCTGGGGTCAGGCCACAGAAAGCAGAAGAAAGCAGGTGTGCACAGTACCACTCCCACTCCCGGGCCAGGCTCTCCACACAAAATTGAACGGAGAAGTAAAGGTTGTCCTGGTTCTGCGTTGCATGGAATGGTGTTCTTCCTACTGCAGAGCATAGCTAACGGCCTGTTTTCTTGGTGTTCTCTTCGTGTGTGCGCTGCAGTGAATTTTAATTCCTGACTCTTTTGAGGTTTCATTTCGCCAGCAGAGCAGAGTAGTGAAAATGAACTGTGCTCACATGGGTTTAATTCAGATGATGGGTTTTTGCATTTGGAAAAGGAATGCAACTAACGGGACCTTTGCTCTTCTAACAACGATGCCCCCATCCCTTCTCCTGTGTGCAGTGTGTGTGCCAGGCACAGGGGAGAAGGCCGCCTTACACATTTGCACAAGTGCTGTCATATTTAAGGTGCCTCAACGTAAGTCCATCTTCTCTGGAAGTAAAATACAACCTTGGATCCATATTTTTCCTTAAGGAAGAATTAGGTGTTTCTCCCCTGACATGTGCTTAATTATTAAATATCAGGCATTTCTGCCCACAGATAAAATGTTTCATAGTGTCATCCAAAGAGGAGAAAGTTTGAGTTTTTTATTTTAAACCACTTGGTTACTGACCCAAATTGTAGGTCCCAGTGGATACCGAGATAAAGGAAAGACAGTCACAATTGGGCAGCAGCCTGTATGTAGCATGAATGCATTGCTCAACAGGAAGGCAAAATGCTGCACAGCTGAATGGCAGTGGAACTAACAGCACAGCAGCTAGAAGCACACAAAATCTTCCAATCATCAGTCCGTCGATGAGGCTGGAATGAAAGAATGTCCCGTGTGTGTGTGTGTGTGTGTGTGTGTGTGTGTTTTGATCTAGTCACAATTATGAATGAATGAAGGTGTCCTAAATAAAATCAATGGATAAACTTCTCAGTTGTAAGAATTCCTACAGGACACCAATGGTGGGCATGCGCAGAACCTGTGTGTGTCGGACGGTAAGAAGCTTGCACGCTATCAGCTCACAGTAGCAAGGGAGCGCATACCTTGGTTAAAACATTTCTCTCAAAATATTCTTAAATGGTTGGGCAGAGTGATATCTTCACCTCCCGTCTTGGCCCTTCTTCTCTCCCAGCTTCAATTGGCAATAGCCAAAACTCCCCTCAGCCTATGGAAGTTGAGGTGGGAAACCCAAAATGCCTTCTAACAGAATAAGGTCATTCATGTCATATTTAAGCAACAAATTGGAGTGTAAACACAACATAGAATGAAAAGAAGTGTGGATAAATCCAAACAAGAAAACAATTTTTTTCCTTGTAAAAGTCAAAACGTGTCTTATCAATGCAGCCACAGGTCTAAAGAGTTAACTGTCTCTACAAACGCTGAGCATTTGTTTAACATCAGACTCTCAGCTTCTTGGGTTAGGGGTTTCGTTTCTGTTCACTGTTGACGGAGCCGTTGCCTCAACCACCAGAAGGACACCTATTTTCTTTCTACACTGACCTCTTCCTTTACATGTATCGGGGCCCCTGGGATAACTGAGTAGGGAAGTGAGGAAAGATGCCTGGGCCCCCTCCTCTACACCAAAGGAAATGAAACGACTTCTCTTGACATAATGTGCCGGTCTGTCCTCAGTCTACGCCTTAAGCATCAAGGGACTTTTCCTTCATCACCCATGTTCTGTTTCGCTGCCCTTGTTCCCCAAGGATGCTGAGATGTTTCTGGAACCTGTGATAATGACTTGCGTTTTCTCTTCCTTCAGCAGTTTCCGGATTGACTCTGCCAGCTGGGTCCCGACAGAAACACCTCCCCATTTTAAAGCCACTTTACATGTTCCTTGACGTGTTATTAATATGCAGTGTTGCAGCTATATCTAATGCTTATTGGTGTTAACCAAATGCTCTTTATGATTTATTATTCTCCATTTCTGGGCGGTTTTACCGTCCTCCCAATGTTTCCTATATATGCTGCTAATTTAATTTGATTTCTCCTTTTATTTAGTCTGTGATTTTGTTGTTGATTTTTCTCCCTGCCCATTGTTTACATCAGTTTTTAATTTTTTTGTATTTTCCATGTGACCTTCTCCACTTTCCTTTCAACCAATCATGTGCGTGCGTATCATGTGACTTTGTCATGTGGCTTGCATGGTGCTGATGATGTCGTCCACGCTGGTGAACAGAAGGTAAAACTCTTTGTTCTGATAAGTGACATAAATCTGGGACCATGGCCTGGCACCCAGGGCCCGCTCATTGCTTCCCGTCTCAGATTTCCTAAGTAAAGCCATTTGGGAGAGTTCCTCTTGTTTTCAATTCACAGGCAGAACTCATCATTCTTTGCAGCCTTCACATGACAATTTGATACCAAGACAGCCTTTGGTTTAATGTTTTACTTTAAGAATTTGGCCATGCAAACTGCTATCTACAGTAAAACCACTTAGCCACAGCACAGTTTGCAAACTTGAATTTTTACCAGATAGTTCACAAAAATTATTTCCCAGGAAACAGTTTTGTAAATTAGCTTTATGACATTGTTGTTTAACTTTATCCAGTAGTTCTAAAAACCACAGTTGCTCTAAAATGAGTCATATTTACATGAAAATGTGAAAATGTATTGGTTCACAACAGTGAAACCCTATAGTTGCAAAGGTTGTATTTGCTTAAAACCAATGAGAGTGCTTCATGAAATTCATGCAAATTGAGGACTTTCTGAGATGAGAGACTTAAGAATTTTGAACTAGAGCAGTTTGCTGTGATCACTGAGGTGTCACTAGTCAAGAGCGACCCTCTCCTGGGCAGGGGGGACAAGTCAAAGCCAAAGTCACTTGGTGTGACCATGACAGGAGAGCTCCATGTGATCAAGAAGCATGTGATTGGCCATTACAGCAAAGGAGATAACATTGTAGGCTAATTAAGTACAGAGCAGTGACGAAATAATTAGTTAATATTGCAACTGTCACGACTTTGTGAAAATATTTCATGATTACAGAGAAAGGCAGCCCCTGCCCACAGCTTTCCCGGCGAAAGCAAACAACGATTTCAGAACCTTGGCCCGGGAGTCATGTGCATTCTGCTCTCTTCTCACGGAAAATTTTCTTCAAATCCCAACCTGAGACACATACAGGCTGCACTGATCACAAAAGCGAAACTAACCCCAATAACGCCCAGTGTGCCCATGCATGCGAGGGCCCCGGTTGACCTGACTTCTCTGAAAACTGATTGGGCGACATCCACAGGAACAAACCCATCCACAGCTCATCTCGCATGCTCTTCGCTCCTGGTCTGTCATTTCGTTGAGTGCTCCCCACGTGTGTGAGTCCTGTGATGTTCCCTCTCCCACCCCCTCCACACTGACCAACTCTGAGGACTTTGGCTCTCTCAGCATGGCCACTGTGTCCCCATTTAGTCCCATTTACATCCGGAATCCTGGAAAGAGGTCTTGGATCAGAGCTGTCCTTATTTCCAAAAAGGAAATATTTGATATTTACATTGTCCCCATTAAGTAGGAATGTCCCCAAAGCAGGGAAACATCAGATCATATATTTTACATACTTTAAAAAGTATCTTAATCTGTGAGTCTTAGGACAGGGGATGTTGGGAACCTAAGATTTTCTTAACTCCAAGTCCCACCCCAAATATTGTGGTTTCATCGTTTCCCCAAGGGGGATCAGGCTCCTTTAGACCATGGTGACTGCTCAGAGGCTGATGTGCAGGGACAAAGCCTGGACATTCCCCCTGAAATCTTAGTGTAAGCAGACATTGGGTTGAAACCTTTTACTTTCTTTTTTAAGAACAAGCTTGGCCAGCACAGCCAGTGTGGCTCAGTGGTTGAGCTTCGACCTATGAACCAGGAGGTCACAGTTCAATTCCCAGGCAGGGCACATGCCCAGGTTGCAGGCTTGATCCCTGGTAGGGAGCATGCAGGAGGCAGCCAATTGATGATTCTCTCTCATCGTTGATGTTTCTGTCTCTCCCTCTCCCTTCCTCTCTGAAATGAATAAAAATGTACTTTTTAAAAAAAGAAGAACTAGCGTGGCCGTTTCTGTGCAATGCTATCGTTCAGAATGAAACAAAGCACAGCGTTCACAAGGGAGAAACTAAGCCACAGACTAGTTAGCGAGCTCTCCCAGACAGAGTCAGCAAGGGACGGAATGTTTGAAGATGTTTCCTGCAGCTGCCCTAGAAACACACTTTAGCAGTGGTCTCAGCTGTCGGTGAAAAATGTGGACAGTACGAAAACGTTCGCCGAGAGCCTGTAGCATTCCACAGCCAGACCCTCTTCTGCCAGCGGCAAAGGGACAGGCAAAGGACTTGTCATTGAGATGAGAAGCAGGAAATGGCCGTTATTAATAAAATTTAAGGGGACGGAGAGATTAGAGCAAATAACATTTACGGGGGAGAGGAATAAAGCTTGATAGTTCAGGGCGCTATTGCCTGCTTGCTCTGAGCACTAGTTGGACCTACATGCGAAGGGTGTCAGTGAGCAGGGAGTCTCTCGGGCAGTGGGCTGTACACCCCACAGCTGCTGAAATCCAGTTGCCTGGGGTGCACTTAGCATGTGCTGAAGGATCTAGCTACGTCCCCTGGGGTTCCCATCCACAGTGTTCACTGGGCCCAGCAGCACTGAATTAGAAGGGAGGCGAGAACAGGCATTGAGAACCAGGCTGCAGCAGCTCTTGGCTCTGAGCCTCCCGAGCTTTGGGTGTGGCAGTTCACAGCCGGGAAGCCCAGGCCCCTGCCAGAGAGCCCAGCAGTGGGTTTGCTGTGGGGACCTCAATGCCACTGAGATGGCATGTGTCACTGCAGGGCCTGCTTCCACCAGTGACTCCGTCAGCTACTGAGGACTCTGTAAATGGGACCCCTCCCCCACCAGCATGTGTGTGACCAGAAGCCCCTGCCCCCCTCTCACCGCCCCCCCTCCCCTGCTCAGTGTGCTGCATGTCCGAGCATGGATCCTTCCCCACCCCTCATAATGATCTTTTTTTTATTTAGCTACTGACACTGACTCGTACTAGGACATGCTGGTTCTGATGAACTAAACTCTGTAACACCCACTCTTCCTTCTTAGATTGAAACATCACTAACCACCCCTTCCACTCCCTCCTTTATTTTTACAGCTGTGTCGGATGGCCACGGTCTCGGGCAGCTCGCATAGACTTTCCACCAGGGCTTCTGCTCTAATTGCCTCTGTTCCCAAGGACTCCCTGCGCTGCTGGTTGCCAGGGTGGAGAGCTAGCGCCAGGGGACTAGGGCAGGCAGTGAAGGGTCGGCCCAGATCCGTGGACAGGGGACAGGGACGGTGCCTGTGGAAAGTGCCCACATCCCCAGGGTTCACTAGTGTGAGGTTCTTCCCAGGAGTACTCTGCCCTCCAGGAGGTGATGTAGAACATGTGCCTGTGGCCTCAGAGGCGGGAGCCGAGTTAATTGTTGGCGATAGCAGTTATTTCTGTCATAACTTCTTCAGCCTGGATCGGCCCCATAACCACAAGCCATACCTTTGTGGTTATATTTTCTTTTTAGGATGATGAAACAAAGATAATTAATCTGTTGGTGTTTTCATGATACCCACGAGAAGGGAACTGGTATTTTGTGGTTTGGTCTGTCAGAGTTCATTTGTGACTGGTTAATTTGTATGTTGTGGGAACATTTTCCTGCCCACCCCTCCCCTAGCACACACATTCACATTCCTAACTCCTGGGAAATCCCACGCTGGACGGGATTTGTGAGCTAGACGCCTCCGTGAGCTTGGCCACAGGGAGCTAAGCATCCTTTCTCCATACACTGGGCACAGTTCGAGGGTCCAAGAATGTATGCAGCACAGATCACGTTAGGTTGGCTTGTGTGGCATCTAGGGCAAAGTGTTGGGTCTCAGGAGGGAGACTTAGTGTTCTAATAGCTCTCAATCCTGATTCCCTTAAGGAATTTGCCGGTCCCCTAAGGACCAGTCAAACTCCTAACCTCTTGATGTATTTGTGAATGTTTCTGAGTTGGAAAAATCAAATAGGCTTCATATTTAAACAGCTAAATGATGCATGTTAGGCTTTTTAAAACAATGAAAAGGCATACACAAGTGGGAACAGAAGTTAAGATAAACAAAAGAAACAATAATTTTAATGCTAGACAATCCTACTTGATAGACAAAGAGAGAGGTTCTAACACAGCCCCTACATCCACCGTGGGTTTCGCTCCGATGTCCAAACCTGCGAGTGCTGGGGGAGAGAGAGCAGAGTGGATGAAGGGAGATGCCAGGTTGACCCAGCCTTTCTCAGGGTGCCTGTTGGCACCTTAGCCTTTCATTCAGAAGATACAACTCCTGGTGTCGGGCTTTTTTGAGGAAGAAGTAGTAGACCGTTTTCCTCCTAAACTTCGCAAATGCTGTCTGACTGCCCGGGCTTGCTCTCACTCCTGCTGTGGAATGCAGACACCCAGCAGCAGAGATCTGACCCCAGAGCTTCTGCGGATGAGGGGAAGGATGAAGCTGACTCCAGGTTCAGGGCACAGTAGCACAATAATTACAAAGAAGAACCTACAATCTGCAAGGCCAGAAATACGCATTTAAATTGCCGTTTATAAGAGGAATTCGTAGGACCTGCATGTAATATTTCTGACTATAGGTGGTCTCTATGGTACAGTCTTTTTTATTTTCTTGCGTCCACGAGTCACATTCTCCTAGAAAATACCAGAACTGCTTGATATTTCATATTCGTTATTGGCAAGGTTCATTTTTAAGGTACCGCTGTTTTAGTCTTTACAGAAAATATTTTGGGGGGAAATAAGACTCGTGGATGAAGCTAAACTCAGAGGGTATAATTAACCCCATGGTTTTCTTGGAGCAACCTGCCTCTTGCTGCTGAACTGCAAACCAGCATTTACAAATAATTACAATATTGGTTTTGCTGAAATTACCCATAATGATTTCAATCAGAGCAGCCACCGCAGATCAGAGTGCACGTGGGGACCCTCTAACTACTCTCCTCCCCTAATGTGTTCTCCAGAGCAGGGAGCCTCCGGAAGGCCACACCCACTCCTTTAGCCTCAGCTCCCCTCCTTCTCCAGGCTGGCTGGAGACTTCTTTTTTTTGTTTTTTGTTTTTGTTTTTTATTTTATTTTATTGTTTAAAGTATTACAAATAGTAGTACATATATCTCCCTTTTTCCCCCCATTGACCTTCCCCCAGCCTCCCCTACCCCCTGGAACAGAGAGTTCAGGAAATAGTTTCTTTACTCCTTACCTAACCTTTAAAAAAATGACTGGCAGTAAACATTTGAAGATGCATAAGACAATTGATTAAACAAATCCTGCTCTTTCCACATCTTGATGTGCCTACGATAAGTAACACAGCCACAAAATGGGTCTGAATCCCTATGATGTTAGTTGAATATGCACTTCCTTTAGAAATACTGTCATAGGAAGGTTTATGTTTTTATACATGGGCCCCAGCATTTTTTCAATTGATTATAACTCAGTTTTTTTCATTTGTCTTATTCACCTTTGAAACTCCAGTAGCTTACTTGGTACCTAGTAGGTACTCATTATATACATTTGTTGAATAACTCATATCTAAAGCACTCTAAATTACACATCTGAATATTATATGATATAAAATGCTCTAAGTTATGTGGGAAAGTAGTACACACGTATCAGAGTATCATGGCTGTCACTGAGATAAAATGATAACAAGTTATAGTGTTCTAACTGGTAAATGTTACAACCATGTTCTAACTGTGATATAGTGTAGTGGTTTCTCTGTGATCCCAATGATGTTTTTCTGAAACATACAAAGACTAGAGGCCCGGTGCACAACATTCCTGCACTCTGGGAGCGGGGAGTCCCTTCAGCCTGGCCTGTGCCCTTTAGCAGTCCAGGAGCCCTGAAAGAATGGCTGACTGATGACTTAGGGAGTGGGCCTAAGCCGTCAGTCGGACATCCTTAACCCTGCTGCAGAGGCAGGAGAGGCTCCTGCCACCGCCACTGCGCTCACCAGACATCAGCCCAGCTTGTGGCTGAGTGGTGCTCCCAGCCAGATGCTCCTGCTTTGAGCATCTGCCCCCTGGTGGTCAGTGTGTGTCATAGTGACCAGCTGTTCTGCCATTTGGTTGATTTGCATATTGCCCATTTATTATATAGGATAGGAGAGTGCCTTCATCAGAGCTGCTGGTTTACAAAGGGATTCGTTGGTGAGATTTTCATTCATATGTCTTTGAAGAGGCTTAGGTTCTCTTTTAAAAGATAAGACTTTTTTAAGATAATTTAAACATTTTTTAAAGGACCATTCTGTGCCATAGAAATATAGAATTATTGATTTTGGGGTGCATTTCCTAAAAATGGATGAATATCCTATATTTCAAATTCTGTCTTTTACAGTGTCATGGAAATAGCTGTGGTGATCTTACAGTCCATCAGGGGCAGTGGCCATGGTGGGTCACAGTGATGTCAGAGTGAGAGCATCAGGTCCAGGGCCTGTATTTTCAAATGTGGAGACCCATCCAAGGCACCAGCCCCTTGGGCTCTCCTGCAGCATCCTTAGCATTCAATTTAAAGGGCTCTCACAGACATCAGAGAAAGCACCTCATCTAAATAGATATCCCCCAAAGTAGAGGTCCATGTTTGGAGGTATTGGTTCAGCCTTGGGAGCCCACCCTGCCCAAATCTGAGAGGAAATAATAATAATTTAATCTCTATTTCCCTTCCACGGTGCCTGGGGAAGGGCTGGGTCCCTGCCCAATGGGTGTGTTGGAAGGGCCGCTGATGCTGCCTCCTCCCTCCTCCTGAAGGCAAACAGGCCACTCATCACAGAGCCCATATCGCGTTTCTGGGTACAGAAACTTATAATGACTAGTGTCCATATCCATTCAGTGCCAGGTCACCAAGCCCCTGGTTTGCCTGGGACTAACAGTTTCTCCAGAGCCTAAGACCTGGTGTGATAACACCTGGAGAGTCTCAGGCCATCCAGAGTGAGTTGGTCACCCTAACCAGCCAGAGAATAGCATTGTAAAGTTCCCCTGCATCTCCTACATCCACCATTCAGCACTGGTGAGTGACACAGAGCTGGCCTAGTAACCTGTACCCCCTGGCGTTTCCTCTCAGCAGTGGGTATTCATGGTGATAGAAGACCTAACTGGATCACTAAGACTTAGAACGGGCCAAAAGAACGTGAAAAGCATACATGCCTTGACATTATCTTCTAAATATTCTCCACTGAATCATTGGGGCCTGTGACTACAGAATGTCTTAAAAATAGGACAAGTTTTTGCCTGAAGCCCTTTTATCTTTTTTATTTTTGTTTTTCTTTTGTCTTAATCACTGGTAAAAAAAAAAAAAAATACATAACAAGCACAAATACTTGGTTGCTCAGCATTAAGGTTATGCATCTTCACTGTCCCAGCATTTATGTGTGCCTTTTGCTAGCACTTCCCAAGCCTACATGTGCACACGGATTACGTGGGATCCTGTTAAAATAAGAGTCTGCATTTCTAAGGAGCTCCCAGGTGACGCGCACACCGCTGGCCCAGGCTGGGTACCAGAGCTCTCCTGAGCTTTCTCTCTGCTTCCTCTTTGTCTTAAAGGGAGAGCAGGACACAGGGCCGTTTTGAGGTTCCCAGAGTAACTGACCCAGGACAGTGGGCTGGACAGGCCTTGCCCGCAGACTTCTCACAAGTTTCCAAAGGTACACTTGGGGTGCTGAGGTCCCAACCCTATTGACAAGCCTTTCCTGTCTCTTGTCTCACGTCTGTGGTTCTTTCTTCCAGAGCACAAGCCCAGGCAGCTCACGAAGAAGGTCTGTTTTCTGGGCTCTCCCAAACGTCCCATGTGAGGCCCTGAAACCGATTCAGAGGTGGCTCGCACAGGAAGTGCAGCATTTCCAAGTGTGCTAAGTCTTCATTTTAACTTTCCATAGCACACATTTCTCACCTCATTGCTTTCAGCGTCTACTAATGAAATAGTTTATCTTAAAGTACATCAGCGCCTCGCTCACTGACGAGCCCCCCCACACCACCCCAGCAGCCTGTCGCACAGTACATCTTCCCTCTCGGCCTTGGATGCAGCGCTGCCCACTGAGCACAAGCTGCAAATAAAGACACACAGGGACCTTTTCTGCTGAAAACCACTAAAGATGTTGTTCTCTCGCTCTCCTCACAAAGACGGGGGCTTCGTGATTGTTACTTTAAGACAAGGTGTTGAGGATTATCTCAATCAGCTGAGCCATAAATGCAGGACACATAAGAAACTTACCTTGGCAAATTGTGCTTTATTTAATCACAGCCAGGAACTTAAATTATTTTTTAATGTTATTACTTAGATATCCAGAGAAGAAACTAGGCTGCTTTGAAAAGATATTTTTTGCATGTGAGCTTTCTCCTTAAATGCTCCCGTTTTTCCATATTTCAGGCCATTTCTCAAAATATCAGGTTTATAAAAGTTAAGTCTTCAGTTGTAAGAGCATAGCAGCGAAAAGAAAATGCAGATTCCTGGGGGAAACAGGAACAAAGGCCAGCTCAGGAGTGTGAAGGGTTGTCCTTCCAGGGAGTGAGTTGCCCAGAACATCCCCAAAGGGCCTAAGTTTGGGTTAAGTCTGAGGCACCTAACTGGAATCCAGAGTCTTATGTTTTCTGCTTTTTAACCATTTGAATTTCTGAGAAAGCAAAAGAGCCCAGCCCCACCCCATCAGTGCATCCCTTCCCGATGGATGGGTTTCATTTTGTGGAGGAAATGTCACATGAACCAACTGGCTGTTTCAGGGGAACCCAGCGCTCCTAAGCTCGAAGGGCAGATGGGAGAGGATGGCAACTCCATCAAGGTGAACCTGATCAAGCAGGACGACGGAGGCTCCCCCATCAGACACTACCTGGTCAAGTACCGCACGGTGAGTGCCCCTTCCCAGGGCTCAGCCCTGCCCAGAATCCCTGGCACACACCTTGGTGAGGCAACCACAGGCAGAGCCTGATGTGGCTGGACAGACACGGGTTCCAGGTCCAGCTTTGCCCCTTACTAGGCGTGCTGGACCATCACTCTGTGTGTTGGGCCCTGATCAGGGTTTCAAATCTTAAGACTGACCTACAGCTGTTAGTTCATGTCCACACTGGGACCATTCCAAAACCTCCAAAATGGCTGTGGTGGTGACAAAATCATACTATGATTGGTTTTCCTGCTTCTTGAACTTTTGTACAAAGTTATTTATATATATATATTTCTTTATTGATTTAAGAGAGGAAGGGAGAGGGAGGAAGAGATAGAAACACCAATGATGAGAGAGTCATCGATTGGCCACCTCCTGCACGCCCCCCACTGGGGACCAAGCCTGCAGCCCAGGCATGTGCCCTTGGCCGGAATCAAACCCGGGACCCTTCAGTCCGCAGGCCAACGCTCTATCCACTGCGCAAAACCGGCCAGGGCTGTACAAAGTTATTTTGCCATTACCCTGTGCTTTTTGCAAATAACATACTGCTATCTAATCACTGCTACCTCACGGGCCAGGTGCTGTGATTACATGCATTTTCTCTCCACAGGACCCTAGGAAGTAGGCCTCACGGTTATCACCAAGTGGCAGAGGAAGTGAGGGCTGTGCAGTCAGGAAGAGCCTGACCTCTCAAGGCCGGGCCAGCCAGGGTTGAGACCCAGATCTGTCTGATGGACAAAACTGGGCGAGCTCCTTCACCAGCTCTTCACCCCACTGAGCTGTTCTAATACTGCTAACTATGAGTGTGGCCCTAAGCCTTTTCTTCCTGATTGGCTCAGCACCTGTCTAAGATTTCCATCGTTACACCTTTCACCCCCAACCCCCAATTTAGAATCTCTCTCCTGTTTTGGTTTAAGAATGACCCTTGGCCATTGCCAGCTATGGCCAATTGCTGAGGCAGTGTCAGAGCACTGGGAACAGTCTATTGCTAGGGTTTCTTACTTAGGAAATACTGAGCCACAGAGCAGTTTCCTTTCTTCAACTAGCCCCCAAGAAAGGCTTTTTCCAGGAAGATGACTTACTCCTTCTGCCTTTGGACCAGCCCTGTCGAAGGGGAAGGTGAACCCTCGCCTGGATAGGTCACAGACCGCACAGAGTCCTGGAGGAGAAGCGGGCGCTGGGCAGACGCCTGGCAGCACTGGACGTGGACAGGGCTGGGGGTAGGGAGGGGTGGAATCCTCCGGCTGTTGTTACACTGATGTTGCCAGATACACATGGAGTCCAGGTCCGGCATGTGACCCAAATACATCATCCAGTCTCCCCAAACTTCCATTTCTTCTTTTGTAAAATGGGAACAAAATAGCTTATCGGGTTGTTATAAAGATTAGGTATAATATATGCAAACCAGAAATGTGACTGGCACTTGGAAAACTCCGTGCCTGGGAAATACAGTAATTACTGCTAAGGTGCCGGCTGGGGCAGGAAGTGCCTCCCGTGGAGGCCTCCTCAGATGTCAGTTTTCCAGAAGAATCACTGTGGCTGTGCCAGGCAGGTCTGAGCTGGAAAGACAGCTGGGGCAAAACACGGAGATGTGTTAGATTTCCACAACCATGACCATCCTCTGAAGACTTAGTGTTTGCTAAATATCATTAGTATATATTAACATGTATTATATGACATCATGATTGCTTTATTAAATACTTGCTTTACGTACTGGTTGTCTCTTTGGTAACAATGTTTGCCAACGAAAGAAGCTTTTCAGAGAAATAAGGGGAAAGACAGCTGAATTTCTTTGTTTTCAATTAAAAAGGGACCATATGCCCTGACCAGTTTGGCTCAGTGGATAGAGCGTCGGCCTGTGGACTCAAGGGTCCCAGGTTTGATTCCGGTCAGGGGCATGTACCTTGGTGGCGGGCACATCCCCAGTAGGGGGGGTGCAGGAGGCAGCTGATTGATGTTTCTCTCTCGTCAATGTTTCTGGCTTTCTATCCCTCTCCCTTCCTCTCTGTAAATATTCAATAAAATATATATTTTTTTAAAAAGGTACCATATGGTGGCATATGCACAAACGAACTTCCAGCACCTCCACTTCCGGGTTAGATGCTGAGGAAACTAGCACTCCCTCTAGCATTTCCCCATAATAGTGGTGGCCACGGCCCTTTCCTGAGGCGGGTCTTTGGCTGGTGCCAGTCCTTCTGCCTGGAGATATGGCCGTGCTGTAAGATAAGTCTCCCTGCAGCTCCGCCGTGGGCCACACCACCTCCCAGGTGACACTAGAGCGTGTTCTGCTCTTCTGAGGAGCAGCTCGTCACTTAGTAAACATTTGCCAAACGCTCTTGTGAGCCCAGCCTACACCTCTCTAAAGACTGTGATGAGGTGGGCTGAGTGAGCAACTGTGAAACCATCTGAAGACTTTTCAGGAGTTCTGCCAACCTCCTTATTGTGTTAAGGAGGAGGTCACCTGCCAGTGGCTTGATAAACTCCCACTCAGAACAAGCTCATTGGTGCGGTGAGGGATATAACTAGAAAGAGCATTCAAGGAGAAAAAGGGACCCTCTACCGCCAGCTGCAGATTTTGCCCTGTGCAGTGCTCTGCTGAGCTGCGTGTACCTTCCTGTGGGCACTCTGAGTGGCCCAGGATTGGACCTAATGGTAAAATGTACACCTGACACTCATATCCCTCTAGCAACTGCCACTGTTTGTGCTTGCGAACATGTAAGGTTGACCCGCTGACGTGTGTAATCCTTAGGGTTTGTCAGGCTGGTAAAGAATAAACACCACATTCTATCATTGATTTTTATTTTCATTACTATAGGCCTGGTGCACGAATTTGTGCATGGGTGGGGTCCGGCTGGCTGGAGGGGAGCGGTTCCTCATGTTGTGGTGACACCCAACCATAAAATTATTTTCGTTGCTACTTCATAATTGTAATTTTGCTACTGTTATGAATCCTAATGTAAATATCTGATATGCAAGATGTATTTTCATTGTTACAAATTGAACATAATTAAAGCATAGTGATTAATCACAAAAACAATATGTAATTATATATGTGTTTTCCAATGGTCTTAGGCGACCCCTGTGAAAGGGTCATTCGACCCCAAAGGGGTCGTGATCCACAGGTTGAGAACCGCTGCCCTATTGGGATGGGAGGGGCTGATTGGGGGCGGGGCCATCCAAGGAGAGGGGCCCTGGGCAGTTGGCCGGCTGCACCCGCCCCCTGATCGAACTCCTGGTTGAACTCGCAATTGAGGGGACAATTTTCATATTAGCCTTTTATTATATCGGATTTTGCACCAATCATTATTAACACACCAAAGTTCTTCTGTTAGCTAGTCTCACCAGTGTTCTCACCTAATGCTGCCTGGGGTCTTGTGTCCTTCCTGCTGGTGTCTCCCAGAAACTCTCTTCTGAGTGGAAACCAGAGATCAGGCTCCCGTCTGGCAGTGACCACATCATGCTCAAGTCCCTGGACTGGAATGCTGAGTATGAGGTCTACGTGGTGGCTGAGAACCAGCAGGGGAAGTCCAAGGCGGCTCGTTTTGTGTTCAGGACCTCGGCGCAGCCCACAGCCATCCCAGGTATGAGCCCTCCGCTTTCCGTGAGTTCCCCGCTTGGAATTAATGCAGTGCCGCCCCTCCTAATGTGCCTGGACAGCCCTCACAACGTGCTTGCTTACAGCCATCCTCATGATCGGTTCCCATGCAGCGCTTAGTTTTGCTTCGTACCTACCTGTGCAGTGGGTTGAGATGTACTGGACTCCCAGGAAGGCTTGGCCCAGCATCCTGGGCAAAGGCCCTGTGTCACTTGGCCTCGAAGGACTGATGCTGAGCCCATCCTGGGGAGCCCTCGGGTGGGAAAAGCCCCAGCTCCTGCCAAGCCTGGGAAGCTGAGTAAGGTTCCTTTGTGAGACCTTCTCTGCCATCTGCCATTTCATACGAGGACCACTTACCTGTGTTAAGCGCTTTCTATCTGATGCTTGCTTACCCGCACAGCCATGGTCCAAATGTCTTCTCTTTGGGGACCCTCAAGAGAAGGAAGACCTGGTGCCTAGTTCATCAAAAATCCTTTCTGCCAAGGGTCTTGCAATTGATTCAATTGAACCACTTGAAACAGAGCAAGTGGAAAAAATAGATACTGGGAAATCCCATCCATGAAAGATGATCCAGCCTGCTATATATCATGATGGGAGCAGTAGGAGATGCAGGTACATCTCTAGGGATGCAGGACCAGCTCAATGTGGGAATAAAGTGAGAGTTCTGCTTTCCGGCCCAGCTCCCTTGCTGCTGATGGCCAGTCTCCTCATTGACCAAATCCCTCTGAGCAGAGATTTTCAGCATCACTCTCTGCTTTTCCATACCAGCCAAATGCCATCCACAGGCAGGAGAGGTGGGCATACAGCACACAGCTGCAGCCTGTCGGAGGGGCCCCCTGCTGCCCTCTCTGCCATGTTGTAGTATGGTAGCAACATGTTCTGATCTCCCCATGGTCTAGGTCTGGTCCCCTCATGCTTGTCCTGCTTATAGTGTTTCCCTGGGCTCTCAGCTAAGGTTCCAGGTATCTCCTCCCAATGGAAGTGAGGCCAGAAAGGATGTGGGCTACCTATAACAGAGCTGTGTGTGTGAAAGTGGGTTATTCAAGCAGCAACAAAATGAGATCAGTCGTGGCTCCCAATGGTTGGTTGTGCATGAATGGGTGTGTGTCTGACGGACGTGTGGGGGCCTCCAGGAGTTGGCAGGTGGGTCTTAAGCCATAGATCAGAAGCGTCGATTGGTCCTACCCTCTGTGTTCTCAGGGAGACCCCTTAACACATGCTGGGGTGAGCCTGCCTCCACAGGCACTGGCCACATGGTCAGTGTCAAAGGCAGGGCACCTGGGTATGGCTGCAAGAAATGTCCTCACTACTGCTTAACAGGGTGCCCGAATGGGGGTGGCCTTGCCATCCTCTGCCCTTTGTTCTTCTCATTCTTCGGTCAGTTGTTTTCTTGAATTCAGTAGTCTGGTGTGAGTGTCCAGATCTGCTTGGCCTTTATGGGACATTTAGGAGTTGAGAGAGTGAGAGGCTTGAGTAACCCCTTTGCAATGAGTCTGCTTCTGATGGCATTTGTTTCCAGCGATAAGATTCCATAGGTAGGGGGCCCAGCCTTGCTGCGTTCACATGCTTGGCATGCCCCATAGCGGCAGCTTCCAGGGTGTGTGAGGTCCAGAAGTTCTGGGAAGACCTTGTCCTCCAGGGTCCTGCCCGCTAGAGATGCCAGCGACCTCGTTAATCGTCCAGGAGCCCCCATTAACTCAGAGAGAGCGGGAGGGGCTGCTCACCACACTCTCGTACCATCTCAGAGGAGGTGGCTCTGCGCTGGGTGGGAGATGGAATTCTGTGGCCAGCTGGTGGTAGCAGGTAAGGGGCGCAGAGCTAGGTTTTCTTTAAGAGCACTGTGGGTGGTGGGATCGTGCAGTAGGAAGAAGAATCAATTCGTGGTTGAAAAGGCAGCCCCCTGGCCTCTGCACAGTTTGCTACAGACTGCAGTGATCAAACGCATCTCTCCCACTATGTGTGCAAAGCTCTAGCGGCAGGAAGGCCATGGGTAGGCTCATTGGCTGTAGCTAAGAGACCTCACCTTAGTCAAAGGTAACACTCTCCTAATCAAAACCTGTGTCTTACTGGAGGCTTCTGTTCTCTCACTTTAATTTCATGCGCTCGCTGACCCCTAACCCCGAGCTCACCCTGCTGTGCTGCTTCTGGCCCTGCTGAGCTTGGGAGCTGGCCTGGTGGTAACAAACCGCACTGGGCTCTTCTCTAACCTCCGACATTTAATTTACTAAAGTTGAATTAACCTTTGATTCTTGTGTTTTCTATATTTGACCTAATTATTTTCTTTTTATCTATTTTTTTTTCCTCTGTTTCTGTCTCTACCTTCTCTTTTCTCCTCCCCTTCCCCTTCCTGTGTCTGTCGTCACACACATCACCTTGGACATCACTGGGACACCCCCACTGCCACCTTTGTTTTTAAACAACCTCATTCTCTCTGGGGACCCATGGCTGGGCACGCAGCGACCCTGGGAGGCTGCTCTGCGTCCTACACCTTTGCCTCCTTGCTTTTCTCTGCAGTGACTCTTCTTTTGCTCTGTTAGGAACTTAAGAACACACAAAAAAGTTAAATTTGCTTAAAAGCCCAGTTCCTATGAGAATGATCAGTGCCCCCTTTGGAAGAATGGTCACGGCCCCACGCACTCTGTGGAAGAGGAAGGTTTGCAACTGGAGAAAGCTGGACCTCCAGACGTTTCACCATTTCCGTATATTTTTGTGCCACTTCATAAGGAGGTCTCCCCTCTTAGTGGCAGTACAATACGCTTGGGAGCTCTTTACGCAGTATTTAAAAGGCATCATGCTAGGTTTACAGCGACATTGCTGCGCATCTGCCACTTGCTGCATTTTTTGTCCTTACTTGAAAATGATGTAGCAGGGGAAGACTTCTGAGTACCCCTAAAGCTTGCATCAGCTTGTTAAAAACCCCACATGCCCCCATTCTAACCCCATGCTCCTCCTCTGCCCCTCAATACTAGTTGTCTTTGCTTGCATTTCAGTGCCCATATAAGGCAGCCGGACCACTGTGATTCGCCTGAGCATTTTGATGACATGCTGGCAAATTAAGTCACCCGGTTGACCGTGCAGCAGAAGAATTGGATTTGTTGAGTATTTACTGGGGTTGATCCAACATTCCGGGAAGCGCTTTGGTCCTGCAGCCTGTCAGAGGGGCCCCATACCCTCGCTGTCATGCTCAAATATGGTAGCAACATGTTCTGATCACCCCATGGTCTAGGTCTGGCCCCCATTATGCTTGTCCTGCTTAGCTTGTCCTGCTTACAGTGTTTCTCTGGTTCTGTGCTGGCTCTGTGAGCAAGGCCACCTGTTAACGTGCCCAACACGTGTCAGCTTTGTGAGACACGTGTCTCCCAGGAGGGCGGACACCTGCTGCTCAGCTGCAGGTCAGCAGAGAGCCTCATGTCTTGGGGGTTGTGGTTCAACAGTGAGCCACGTTATCGATAAGTCAGCCTCCCAGATTGGAAGCATCCACTGTGAGCCAGGCATGAACCTCGCACTGTGCCCATACATGTGCACAGGGCGGCAGGGAGGACACAGGCCATTCCCAGGCTGCCTGGACTGTTGATAAACTGGGGCTCGCTCAGTCAATCTGTCATACTTCCTGAATGCGCCAAACCCCTATTGGTCAGTGGCTCTAGTGACGTTTTTAAAGCTGGTGAAAGCCAGCACTCCTCCTCCCTGCTGTTGGGCAGTATGCCTCCTCCACGCGGCCAGGAGAGGAAGTAGGGGTGTATGTGAAAGTCCCACACAGGGACTCAAGGTGAGTCCTGCTTAGTGACATCAGTGCATATTTGGGATGGAACTTCTACTGAATAAAAACTCCCTCCCTCCATTGTGGTCACATATCATTCCACATGTCTCCTCTCTGAGCATCTCCACAGAAGTCTGATTTTTGTTCTTTTTGGTCTCTTTAATTTTTAGTTCTGTGTGATTTCCCCTTTGGGAATCTAAATGATCCCATGGTTTTGGGGGTAGAGCTGCCCATCCCTAGTGCTCACAGTTTAGAGGCTCAAGTGCAGACACCAGAGACCAAATGCTCCTAACAGCTCAAGCAGGATAGTGCCTCCTGCCCCAGGTGCCTCCTGCCCCCGCTGCCTCCTGCCCCAGCTGCCTCCAGCCACAATTCAGTCCTCTCCCTCTGGGGCTCCTGGCCGCCTCACCCCAGTGCAGCAGGGACAGTGTGGTTCTTAGGCACAAGGCAGAGCACTGAGGAGAGGCAGGTGGTGCCTCTGGGCCTGGTGTGGGAATCCCAGGTCAGTTAGCAAGAGCTGCAGGGAGCGCCAGGGGGGTGAGCTCAGTCCCGGTGCAGGTGAGCCGTCATTGTTCTCCGGACCCCTGGCACACCCTCGATGTCACCTTGGGCAGAAGTCATTCAGGAGTACCCTCCTCAGGGTCCCAGGTCCCAGTCCCACCTGCACGGGAGGGACAGTGTCAGTGTTTCTGAAGGGAGTCTTTGGAGAGCTAGCCCAAAGGAAGGGGAGCCTGACCCAGCCCTGTCCCCTCAGATACCCCTCCACACCCTGCCAGGCAGGCCTCCGCTGAAGCAGCTTTGGCGTCACTGCAGTGGCCGCGTTCAGACAGGCCGCGGTTTGTAATGAGATGCCCTTTGGGAGACAGCGTGAGGACACACCACTCCCATTGGACACTGAATTCTGGGTCGGTCTTGGCTGGGGCCCAGCCCCACCAGGAATCCCTAAGACAGTGCCCCGGAGAGCCCTGCAGGAGCCGCGCCCCGCTCCCTCCCTGCATCCCCACACCCAGCCTCCAGGCCCACAGGGTCTCTGCTTACTTTGGGAAAATCTATACGGCTGGTTTGGATCACGTTCGTCTACTAATAAGAATGCTAACATTGTTGTGCAGATAATCAGCCAGGCCTTTCTGAGGTTTACACCTTTGTATTATTAAAGGAAATAACAGTCACGTGAACTCTCTGGCGTGTTTTGATTTTATTTGATAGTTGTGTGTCCCACAGAGTGT